ACTTTAAATACATGAGACTTTATCTATACTTATATTACAAAGACGAAAGATTTGTATTTTTGTATGTATTAAAATATCTCAAAAATTCTATCATTGTTAAAAAGCTACGTTATCAGTGAGTAACATAGGCTATACTGTTTTTATTATTTTTTAATTTCATGAGGTTGAAATCGACAGCAACAGATAGTTTAGCATAGTTTTAGTTTTACTTATCATTGTGATTTAGTTCACCATCTTCATTGGCACATTGTACACCTTCTTGTAGTAGTGTTATATTAGCAACAGCACTGTCTTCGTCCCCATAGTGTTCGAGTGTGACTGAGGACAGAGAAGCTACGTCAGAGGCGCGCAGCACAGCTCGCAGACGGAACTTATGCGGTTGTCGTGGTGGTAGATTCTCTATTGTTTTTGATGTTTTACACCCGCTGTTTACACACGTAAAGTTAGTTACAACAGTGTTAAAACCACGAACCTTTATATGTACATGAAAGGCTGTAAGATGAGATATTTTGTGCCTAATTGAATTTGCCATCTCGGCACTGAGTACCGGCGGCGAGTATTGAAACTAATAATAGACACGTTTAACTTGGAAAACTGAAACGTGATATCAAATTATGTGCTCTTTTATTTTCGTTCTTACTTTTTTGAAACAAGTGAAAAGCGAAACAATTCATTTTTTAATACATTTAGTTATTTCAACAAACCTGTAGACGAGTACCCATGGCGGTATCTTCTCCCTTCTTTCCAACTGGTAGAGGAGCTGATGCTGCAGGAAGGCGAAGGCAGCTGGTGCTCTCCACATCAGAGATACACTGCTCTTGTTTCTATCCACCACCTCAGCCGCTACAGGTCTACTACTTCTAAAGTTACTCCGCAAAAATTCATCGAAATCCATTTAAGAAGGATGTGTAGAAGTTCTCCAAAAGTCTTAATAACCTTAGTTACAAGAAGTATGAAACAGTGAGATTTTGCTATGTTTACGGTAACCACTGACTACGTTGTTAGATCGATTCACCTTCAGGTCGGCTGCTTAACATGCTTGATGAAGATTATATATATTTAGATGAAATCTTTGGCTAAATAATTGTAGGACGAGTATTTCCATCCAAGTATTTGATTGCATTTAGGAGAAGACCGAGACAGAGGAGGGATGGGATCAAACCACGGGTTTTATCAACAGTTTAACGATTATAAAATACATAACTATGTCTTCAGCTAGATAAAGACTAGGTCTACTATGTCTAGATAAAATAAAGCAATTTATTTGATAGTTTAAATATCAGCAAATGAGATCGATTTTCGCATGTTTATCGAAGCGTGTCGAATGTAGGTTGAATGTGATGATATACGCGGCGGCAGCACAAAGCGCTGCGAGTTCCGTTCCCACTGAAATATAAACGACATCGATTTAGTTCCCTCAGCTCGTTAATAATTCGCGACCTCGATCCGCGATCAGTTGGCGCCGAGCCAAAGTGCGCGGTGCGGCGCGGCGTGCCCCCGCCCCAGCCGCCCCAGCCGCCGCCGCCGCCGCGGACAGCCTCCGAAACCTGACTTGTAATTACATTACGACTTTATCTAATTGTACTCAATAATTATTAATGTTATCTATTTAATGCATTAAGACACACAGAAAATTTACTAAAGTTATTAATCTATACTTATACGAGTATGTTAATAAAGAGGAAAGATTTGTATTTTTGTATGTATCGAAATAACTCAAAATCTACTAGACCCATTTTAAAGATTCTTTCACCGTTATAAAGGTTATTTATCTGTCAATAAGATAGGCTTTATTTACATGTTATTTTAAAAATTTCAAGTCGATGTCGCGAGGTAGAGCTAGTTTTTGAAAGTGTTTGCAAAACATAACCGATAACTTTCTTCGCTTGAAAAAGTGTAAAAAATGGTTTATAAAAACGGTATAAACCATTATTCAAAGTTATCAATAACTGTAAAATGATGATGTATGAGGAATTCAAATTATACGTGATAGCGTTCAGTAAAAATATTTTCATAACAAGTTCAATATAAAATGTTCGATGTGTGTACAGTTATGGAATTTAGTTTGTCAAGAATTTGATATCAGCTCGAGTCGCGACTCCGGCCGCTCCGCGCCGCGTGCTCGCGTTCACAATGAACCTACAGTGTACAAGCACTCCATATAACTTAATCCCGAGCTGTACCAGCAGACAGAGCTCTTCTTGTTCTTGATTCAATAAAAACATGCTTACAGATTTGAATCATAAATGTTTTGTTTTAATTCTTATTGTTATTTGCTTTTATAATTTTACTAAGTTTAAGAATTGTTAGTTAGTGGAAGGGTCACTTAATTCATAACATATAACATGGTTTTTGAAAACTGGTTGACCATTCAATCATAATTATACACTAGCTTTCGCCCGCGATTCCGTCCGCGTAGTATTAAAAAAACAAAAGCATGTAGCCTGTGTGTTCTTACAGCTTTTCCTCTACATAGTGCTATAGAGATCCGTTCAGTTTAGGCTACAAACTCTAACAAACATCCATCCATCTAAACTTTAGCATTTATAAGTGCATAGTTAATGGAAATAGTTACCACAGCTTTAGTAAATCTTCTATAAAAAAATAACATTTTTAACAACGGCGATAAAATACCTTGCAGTTTGAAATTGTGTAAAAGAATTGATAATCAGCGATGTTATAAGTTATGTAGGCGATGAATTCTGTCGTTTGGAGAGTGGCGATATTAGCTCTACCGGTTTAATATTGCAGGAGGAAGTCGGTGTGATCCCCGAGGAGCGGAGAGGTGGAGGCGCGGAGGGGAGCAGAGAGGAAGGAATTTATTCCCGTGAACTGCACTTCATAGAATTCATTGATAAACTGCAATTTAAGGAAGAATTTTTAAAATAATGCTTTTTAATAAACCTTAGAATATTTTAACACTAGTATTTGCTGTTAAGTCAAGATATCATGGAGATAATCACGAATGCTTAACAATAATATTTTTAAATTTGTTATTTAATTAGGTACAATCGACTTTCTCTTTGGATTTTCTTAAAGTTATACAGCTTATTTATAATAACTAACATTATAAAGAGGAAAGGTTTGTAATTTTCTATGTATTAAAATAACTCAAAAACTACTGGGCTAATTTTAAAAATTCTTACACATTTAGAAAGGTGAATTACCTAATTTCACTGGAAGTTGCGAGCGACAGCTATGTAAGATGAACACCTAATAAGTGTCAAAATGTTCGCATTAACACAGTACATGAGTTTGGTGAAATATGTAAATGATGTAAAGAAAAAATAACAATATTAATAAGCGAGGCAGCAGTGAGACACACCTGATCACGGCTCCTTCACTGAACGCTTTGAGAAAATTACACAAGTTAAATATTCATTTCAAAATTGTTATTACAAATATGTCGCTAACATCGCTTATAATAAAGTGCTACGAAGATTTTTGGTTTGTAGAATGTTGTTTAGGATTTGAAGCAAATTTATTGAGCATAACTATAAAAAAATATTTTGTGATCTTTAAGACCTTTTTTTATTAGCAAATTCAGTTATAATCGAAAATCACTTAGTGGAAAAAAGTTTTCGTCCAAATGTCTAGTCATGGACAATTAATATTAAATCAATTTTGCACTATGCGTAAGTAAAATAAGTATTTACTTAGAGCGGGCGCACCTTTGACTAAAATATGGCACATCTGTTGTGCGATTGTCGATTGTTTCGCAGCCAATTCAACTGTTTAGTTGCACAACTAAAAATCGTATAGTGTAAAAACTCATAGGAATCAAAGCGAGACTAAACAGTTGTGCGATAATTTAGTTTCAGGTGTGCACGCTCCTAAAATAAGTCTACATTAACGTATTTTCTAGAACTGCAAACATTTGAAATAAAAAATACGCGACAAGCAAAGAGCGTTCAGGCGGAAAAAATGTTTTGTAAATCGGAATAGTTTCGTGTGAATGTTCAAGTATTTGTTGAGTTGCAGGTATGTATGGAGCAGATGCACGGCGCGGCAACGTCGCGAACTATTTTGTCAATGCAATGTCGTGTCGCAACAAACGGTGTTGACTGGCTGGGTTTTAATACTTTTGCTTGTTAGAAGTTATAAGTAACAATATTTATTTTAAAAACTAGCTGTTGCCCGCGACTTCGTCCACGCAATATTAAAAAAGTAGCATATATTATGTCCGTCTTTGTCATATGCCCTCCAGTGAATGTCAAAATCTGTCCAACCTTTTTGGAGATTACTACGAACAAACGCGCCTTATGGGACAGACAGACAGACAAAAATTTTTAAATGCGATTTTCGTTATTAGCAAGGCAAATACATCTTCCCGAAATCTGCAATTTTTCTTTTGATATTACAAACAGACACTTCAATTTTATTACATGTGCAGATGATATATTATTAATTAATAATGAACAGTCGTCAATTAGCAGTATGTGACGTCACGGCCGGTGGCGCACTTCGCGCCCTGTCAATTATGCAGCCGTGTGTAGTCGGCGCGATATTTATAGCCCTGATGTCTTTATGCCCTCCCAAAATGATACATTGCATGTTTTTATTAAATACAACAAGATTAATGAATGCAGTTATTAAATATTTAATTGTTGTTCTGTATTTGTTTAATTTTAAATGAAATATTACCACGCTAGCATGTTAACTAGTATCTAATACATTTTTCCACTTCAATAAACATTTTGTTCAACGTCTTGCTAATCCGAGCGTGTTTCAAAGTTTAAGAACGATTTATTATTGAAAGTTAATTGCCCTTGAATAATATGCTAAATCATTCAAGCGTGGTACATTACGCATTCAACCTTTAAAATAATATCAACTATTTTTTTGATAGTTTAGTAGATATTTATTTTCAAAGTTTTGTTG